CAGCCTGTGCCCAAAAAGCTAGGCTCCACCCCTTCAGACTAGTTCCGCTCTGCTTGCCCCACCCCTGCATCAAAGACAAACCCACTACCCTGTTTAAACGCCTGAACAAACACATTTGGCCCTGCCCCTCAAACACGCTCGGCCCACCTGCCTCCTTGCCACTCGAGCTAGTCTTTTTTTTTTTTCTTTTTAGACAGTGAGAGAGAGAGAGAGAGAGAGAAAGGTCTTCCTTCCGTTGGTTCACCCCTCAAGTGGCCGCTACGGTCAGCGCGTTGCGGCCAGCGCGCTGCGCCGATCCGAAGGCAGGAACCAGGTGCTTCTCCTGGTCTCCCATGCGGGTGCAGGGCCCAAGCACTTGCCCATCCTCCACTGCACTCCCGGGCCACAGCAGAGAGCTGGCCTGGAAGAGGGGCAACCGGGACAGAATCCGGCGCCCCGACCAGGACTAGAACCTGGTGTGCCGGCGCCAAAGCGGAGGATTAGCCTAGTGAGCTGCGGCGGAGCTAGTCTTTTCACGCTCTGCTTGCCTAGCTCTGTCACTACGACTCACCTTACTTTCCCGGGCCCGTGATCTTTGCACGTGGCTGAACCTGCCCCACCCCCTTCGAGGCTTCACCCCCCACCAGCCTCCGTGAGCTGCCCCTACAATGTAGTGCTTTGTCTAGTTGCTTCACACACCGAGTCTGTCTCACCTCCCAGCGTGCCAGGACAAGCTGATACAAATCTACCATCCCCCCCTCCCCCAACGGTTCGGGCCGACCCTGCGCCACCTGCCTAGAATAATTGAGCAATCTTTGCTCTAAAAAGTACTCCTATCTGTACCCAGTAACACCATTTAAAACATATATACACACTTGTGTGTGCACACATACAAACAGACCACTATTCTCGATGATTAAAAGAACACACACAAAGATACACATGCGGTGAACAAGACAATGACCAATTTGAGAACTCATACTTATCAAGAGAGTGAGGTAATATTAAAACCTCACCCCGGACTTCGCTTTAAAGAGCTCTGAACACTTTCCAATGAATACGCGTCACACAACATAGAAATAAATTTCACTAGAAATCAATAAAAGCCTTAACTTTTCGAAATTTGAAAGGCGAATCGAAACTGTCGCTTAAAACTAACAAATTCTAAACAGAACTTAACAATTACGAAAGCTATCCATACTCAAACTTTTGGTTTTATATAGAACTTTAAGACAAGGTTATGAGAAAAGAAATATGGAAATCGATCGGAATCCTCACCTCGGAGCATTCAACTTGGGTTACCGCAAGTCCCCACCCTGATTCCCAAACACCTCAAACCCTCTCCAAAGGCCGCGCACCCACGCCTCGCGTCACTAACCGCGCAGCTCTTCAAAGGAGTTCCGAAATATCTCAACGCTCGTACAGTGCACGGGGAAAAAAAACTGCTGCAGTAACTTCCGGCTCCAGCCCCGCCCCATCTCGAACTCGTTAACCTTGCTCTCGCACAGGACCCCCTAGAGGAGCGGCTGTACCCTGCAAAGTTCAGTTATGAAGAATCGAAACTTACGGCTATGCGGGCGCCATACTGTACAACACCTAAAGCCGCTGCAAGCGCACTTGTCTCTTCAGACAACGCCTTCGCTTTCTGAACGTGATCATTCCATTATTGCAAAAAGCAGGCAAATTGCCTTATCATTTCCAATTATTTTGCATAATTTCCTGTTATTATTTTACCGTCATTATTAATTAGGAGGTAGGCAATAAAAAGAAAAGGCACATAAATCAACTTTTAAGTCAAGAAAGTAAAATAAGGTTTATAGAAAGGGCAGGAGAAAACAACACAATCTAAGAAAGTAAAAATGAGTTTATATTTGAAGTTCATACATTATTATGTAATCAGGAATTTTAAAAAAGTTGTTAGCCGGCGACGCGGCTCACTAGGCTAATCCTCCGCCTTGCGGCGCCGGCACACCCGGTTCTAGTCCCGGTCGGGGCGCCGGATTCTGTCCCGGTTGCCTCTCTTCCAGGCCAGCTCTCTGCTGTGGCCTGGGAAGGCAGTGGAGGACGGCCCAAGTATTTGGACCCTGCACCCCATGGGAGACCAGGAGAAGCACCTGGCTCCTGCCATCTGATCAGCGCGGTGCGCCGGCCACAGTGCGCCAGCTGTGGCGGCCATTGGAGGGTGAACCAACGGCAAAGGAAGACCTTTCTCTCTGTCTCTCTCTCACTGTCCACTCTGCCTGTCAAAAAAAAAAAAAAAAAAAAGTTGTTAATCGGCGCTGCCGTGCTATGGTGTGATCCAACGATCACTGAACTCCTCTCTGGGCCTCAGTTTCCCGATCTGTACAAAGGGCACAGTCAGGCCCCAGCACGTGGTATGTTGGGAGGATCCTCAGGTGTCTGCTCTGCACACTTCGGCTGGACCTCACACCCATCGGGTCCCACATGGTCACACACCTGACACTCCTTCGTGAAGCCCCTCTCCCCACCGCCCCCTGTCCCTGATTCCAAACCTGCACAAGAACCTGGATCCACACAACCCTTCCCTGGCAAGACTGCCGACTCAGGGGGCCAGCGCTGTGGTGTAGCCGGTAAAGCCGCCGCTTGCAATGCCAGCATCCCATATGGGCGCCGGTTCGAATCCCGGCTGCTCCTCTTCTGAACCAGCTCTCTGCTGTGGCCTGGGAAAGCAGTAGAAGATGGTCCTTGGGCCCCTGCACCAGGGTGGGAGACCCGGAAGAAGCTCCTGGCTTCCGATCAGCTGAGCTCCAAAAGAAGATAGACCCCTCTGTGTCTCTCTCTCTGTAGCTCTACCTTTCAAATAAATAAAATGTTTAAAAAAACTTGTCAAAGTGGTAAACTCTCGAGGTAGACATTGTCATTTGGGATGGAAATTAACAAATCCAACCATATGCTGTTTATGCCAAACCTAGCAAATCATAAAGACACAGTAAGAAATTAGAAATAGATGGAAGAAAATTTGGCAGATACACGCCAATCAAAATAAAGCCACATCAATTATGTTCAAATCAAAGTGAAAAGATGAGAAACAGTATTGAGATTGAGATTATTCCACCATGATGAATATATAAAATATTCCAATATATATAAATTCTAATTTTATATCCACTTAATAAAATGGAATAAAGTAAACATAATAAAAATATGTTTAAAAAATAGGGCCTAGCTCTAGGTATAGTGAGCTAAGCCTCCACCTGTGGTGCCGGCATCCCATATGGGCTCAGGTTCGTGTCCTGGCTGCTCCTCTTCCCATCCAGCTCTCTGCTATGGCCTGGGAAAGCAGTAGAGGATGGCCTCTGGCAGGGTGGTTTTAAGTTTACAATTTTCCCACAGGACATAGCCTGCCCGGGTGGTTATAGGTTATCTTGCTTCGTTGCTTCAGAGCAGGGACTGTTCCTTAGAGAGAAACAAGTTATAGATATCAGTCTGCTCATCCGGCTGTAAACAGCGTATTTCTGACTCCTGTACTTTTGCGTGCTTGCTTGCTTGATAACAGCCAAAGCCACCAAAATGTAGTCTCTTCCTTTAAAAACCCCCAGGCCACTGCACCTCGGGGCTGCCTTCTCCGGACTTCTCGGTGAGAGGGCAGTCACCAGCTGGCTAATAAAGACTTCTAATGTGACCTCCAAAGTCTCGCTGTGCTTTGAATCTGTGTACCCCACAACAAGCCCAAGTCCTTGGGCCCCTGCAGCCATGTGGGAGACCCTGGATAAAGCTCCTGGCTCCTGGATTTGGCTTGGCCCAGCCATCTGGGGAGTGAACCAGTGGATGGAAGACCTCTCTCTGCCTCTCTGTCTGTAACTCTGCCTCTCAAATAAATAAATCAAATCTTTTTTGTTTTTTAAACGAAAGTAAAAAAACAGATAAAGTGGTTCCCATTGTGGAAAACTATAAGCACATGGCTTTACTAATTCCCAATCACCACTCAACACCTAACTTTGGCATCACCATCTGGAAAGCTCTGTTTGTTTCCTTTCCATCTGGATAACAGGTTTCTCTTCTGCATGAACTTACAGACATAATTAGAAAAGCAAGGGCTCTTCCTGTTAATATGAAGAAAATGTAGGTGTTGCCTGAACCTCCCACACCCGTTTTGCAGCTTCCTTACTAGAAATGAGGAGAGGGACAATGCCAGTCTTGGTCACTGCTAGGTGCCCAGTACCCACTTTGCTGCCAGGCACTACAGGAGGTGTGCAGTAGCCACTAGTGATTAAAGAAAGGCATCGCTGGGGCCTAGTGGGTAGAGCCGCTGCCTGTAGTGCTGGCATCCCATATGGGTGAGGGTTCGAGTCCCAGCTGCTCCACTTCCAATCCAGCTCTCTGCTTATGTGCCTGGGAAGGCAGTGGAGGATGGCCCAAGTGCTTGAGCCTCTGCACCCACATGGGAAACCTGGGACAAACTCCTGGTTCTTGTCTTTGGCCTGGCCCAGCCCTGGCCGTTGTGGACATTTGGGGAGTGAATCAGCAGATGGAAGACCTCTCTGTCTCTCTCTCCCTTTCTGTGACTCTGACTTTCAACCAAATAAATAAATATTAAAAAAAAAAAACCCTGCCTTCTGGCTGGAGCTACCTAAGTGAAGCAATCTCGTTTTAAATATTTAAAGGCAGATGCTTTAAATTGGTCTCCATTTTTCTTAGAATGTTGACGTGTGGATAAGCATAACCAGACTTGTCAATTTAGAGGTTTTTTTTTTTTTTTTTTTTTTTTTTTATGGGTATGATCAAATAGCTCACTGAAACTTTGGCAGTCTGGAATCTGAAGAATTGTTTGTATACTATTGAAAAAAAAAAAAAACAACAGGTTTGCCTGATAATGAAATGTTAATTTCTTGCTTGCAAAGGGTGCTGAAGTTCAACATTTTTTTCATAAACAACATAATGGCAACTTAAAGGCAAAAAAATTAACAAAAGCTCTATAATCACTCTTGGCAAGCTCAGAAATTGTGGCCCTGGATGCCGGCCCTTGTCAGTGAGATGACAAAATGGACATTTTGAACGTGCTGGCTATGAGCCCTTGTGCATAGCTCAAAATTCACCCTGCCCCAACAGAAATCTCAAATCTGTCTTGATGTTCTTGGTGGTTTGGGCTTTTAGGATTTTAGTACTTGGGACTCTGTTAGCCATGTAGGAAACTTGGACGGAGTTCCAGGCTACTGGCTTCAGCCTCACTCAGCATGGAAGATCTCTCTCTCCCTGTCTCTCCCTCTGTCTCTGTAACTCTACCTTTCAAATAAATAAAATAAATCTTTTCTTTAAAAAAAAAGTCAAGAAGGAGCATAGTGTAAAGAAACTGTATTACAGAAAATCTATCTGGTACTTATTGAACTTAGTTTCTCCAGCTGTGGTTTGGCATTATACAAAACATCTTTTAAAAAAAGATTTATTTTTACTTATTTGAAAGGTAGAGTTGCGGGGAGGGAAGAGAGAGAGACACAGAGAGAACCATTTGCTGGTTCACTCCCCAAATAGCCCCAACAGCCAGGGTGAGGTCAGATGGAAGACAGGCGCCAGGAGCTGCGCTGGGACTCGAACTGGCGCCCATATGTGATGCCGGTGCTGCAAGCAGAGGCTTAGCCTGCTACGACAGAGTGCTGACTCAAAAAGAGTGCCTTAAAAAAGAGAAATCTTAATATTTTTGAACTTGGGTTTTCTTTTTTTAAAAAATATTTACTTTTATTATTTATTTGAAAGTCAGAATTACATAGAGAGGAGAGGCAGGGGAAGAGAGAGAGAGAGAGAGAGGTCTTCCATCTGCTAGATCACTCCCCAATTGGCCGCAACAGCCAGAACCGTGCCAATCTGAAGCCAGGAGCCAGGAGCCAAGAGTTTCTTCTGGGTCTCTCACACAGGTGCAGGGGCCCAAGGACTTGGGCCATCTTCCACTGCTTTCTCAGGACATAGCAGAGAGCTGGATCAGAAGAGAAGCAGCTGGGACTCGAACCAATGCCCATATGGGATGCCAGCAGTGCAGGCGGCGGCTTTACCCACTACAACACAGCACTGGCCCCATGAATTTGGATTTTCTTCGTTAATGGTTAGTTACACATAATTCTAGTGATTATTATAGCATATATTTACTTTTATATGTAAGGAATAGCATAGAGGCATATATAATGGAAGCACATAGATTACAGTAATTTGCCATTTTGCAACAGAATCAGAGGTTCATGACCCATGATGTATTTTTTTTTTCTTGACAGGCAGAGTGGACAGTGAGAGAGAGAGAGAGAAAGAGAGAGAGACAGAGAGAAAAGTTTTCCTTTTTTCATTGGTTCACTCCCCAATGGCCGCTGCGGCCGGTGCACCACGCTGATTCGAAGCCAGGAGCCAGGCGCTTCTCCTGGTCTTCCACGCAGGTGCAGGGCCCAAGC